AGTTTTTTTTAATTAATCAATGCTTACTTTAAAATATTGATGGATGTTTTACATATTATATTTTTTTTAGATTTAGACAGGCATTCTATGCTGCATAATTACAAAATGTAAAGACCACAGTCGAATTCGCTATGAGTCAGATGTTTCGGAATTGGCATGCTGTGGCTGCCAATATCCCACCCGTGCTTCTTGTTGCATAATAAATTAAGCAGCACAAAACACTGACACTGTTGCAATATGCGCTGCCTGAATCCAGTAGCCTGCAATGGGCAGATCGTCTTTGGGCAGTTCAATCCAGGATTGCTCTGGCCAAGTCACTTGTGCAAAAATTATCAGCCATTATTGTAAGCGTAGCAAAATAATGCAACCAATAATATCACATTAAATTAAGGCCTTACCCATTTGCAACTTTCAGCGGCTATTATTTACGTTTTCTTCTCAATAAATTTTCCATCGACCTCTTTCTTCTTATTTGATCATGACAAACCCTACTACACCTTTAAAAAAGCAAAACGCAAGTATTAAACCGAAGGTTCGGTTTGTGCGCAGCAAGATTAAACTGGATGAATCAGCTGGCAGCCGCCTGCAACCAGAGGCTCCAAGATTGGTCTTTAAACCAAAAATACCAGTTGTGCGCCGTAAGAGCAAAATGAATGAAGCAGCAACCCAAGTGCATCAGCAGCCTAGTGCCATGTCTGTAGAGAATCTTATCGAGGGTATACCAGCAAACATATTTTATGCATTCAGAACCCGTGGTCCGGATTATTACAGCAAAGCATTTGTCTATGGAGCCACTCGGACAGGCGGACCAACACTTCCCTATCACAAGTGGATTAAACAGCGTGATTCACGTCGCATTATTGATGGTGCAGCAAGGGCACCACTACCATTCCCAAAGCTTGAGTTTGAGGACACAACTTTAAAGTCTGCACCAGAGTCGCTTAAACACACACGTTGGAGCCAGATACATGCCCTGCACATTCCTGGCAACCTTAAAAATACACTAATTTTGTTTGGCCACCATATAATCGAGGATGAAAAAAGTGGGAACATGACATTTTGTTACCACTGCAGCCATCCCGAGACAGCAGCCCACATTCTTGGCCAGTGTCCCTTGTTTGCCCGTATTCGTGCCAAGTTTTTCGAGCAATGGATTGCAATTGCACACAAAATTAAGAAAAGTGTACGCAAAGAGTTGAGGAAGCAGAAATGTGGCCTGCGTCCAAATCTTAAAGCCCGTTTTCCATCCGAGATGCCTGACTTTGATAACTGGCTGGTTTTACCGTTTATTGAATGGAAGGCGTTTTCTGGAATTGTGACTGAAACAGCTGTGGCATTCCAGCACTTGTTCAAGTACGCTGCTTGCTTGCTCATCTGCATGGAGTTGGATGCGTGGGATGATGCTGTTCTTCGTGATGCCCCATGGACTGAAACTGAATTTCTGGTCAAGTACGATGCGAAAGTCGTCAAGTTTGCTACCGGTTGCCTTGAGGAAAATAGCCCAATGTTTGAAACTATTGGAATGATGTCTCTTGCGCATCCTTGAATTACTTTAAAGATAATTGTTTCGGTTTTTATGAGCTAATAAAAAAAACACAAAAAATAATTTGCTGGTAGATCGATTGCCACCACAAGCTTATTATTGCCAGCTATCTCCATAATTGTACTTGGAATATTGAGTTAAATACAATGTTGTAAACATAGTTAATGTCCCACGGGTACATACCTAAAATATGTTAAATCCATGAAACATTTTGATGGTATAATTTGACTCAATAACACGTCATTGTTTGTATTAACAATAAAATGCCAAGACCACTATACTGCAAATGCCTCAAATAAAGAGAAAAGCGGAGAATAATTGAGAAGCGGAGAATAATTGAGAAGCGGAGAATAATTGAGAAGCGGAGAA